ATTCGAAGAAGTTATTTAATATGCTTCGCGTGTTCTTTGTTTTTCAATAAAGGGAAGAAGCATGATAAGAATTAAGGTATTGAGAAATTTTCGATGCGTCGTAAAAAAAATACATATTTTTCAGAGAACTTCACTTAAACCCCTGGATGCATTTTCCAGAGTTCCTTTATTATCCCGTTTCCCCCCCATTTTTTTTTATCTCCGCCTTTTGAAACTTCATTCTATAGGTGTCACCATCGCCGTCTTCATCCCTTAAACACCGGATGAGAGAAGCAGCGAGAGGCTTTATGAATATTGCGACGTAGGTATTATCTGCCCGCCAGGGTTTTCAATTTTTCGGTTCTGTGCCTCTGGGGTTCCGGAATATCTGTGTGTCACCTAAAACGAAAAATGTGTAAACTGGCAGAGGGGGGAAAAAAAAGGAGGAGAGATGCCTCAGGGCGGGGGATTGTTTTATATCGGTTCGATGCTGGGCGAGGTCACTTTTCTGCTCCATTTTTCACTTTCACGCTGGTGAAGTCCCCCTTGTTTCTCCTTGATGCGAAATCTGCATAAATGAGCTCAGTTGAGGAAGAAGTAAAGATGAAAGGGGGGGGGGGAAGCTGAAGATTAATCCGGTCTTTGGGGTGTGTGTGGTGTGTGTGTGTTTAGGGATTTATTGCCCAGTGGGTATAACGAATAGGGGGTTTTTTTTTTCAAGTACTGCGGAAACAGGGCACCCAATCTGGCATGTGTCACTGACTGCTCTTCCAGCTTCTATTCTGCGAGAACATCTTTGACACACTTGCTGTCGGCAATTCTGTGTGTCTAGACGCAGCTTGATGTTATTCTCGGGATACAGTTTTACTTTTTCCCCACAGCATGAGATTTTTTATTTCAATTTTTTTATCATGTTGATGTACACATGTGCGACAAGTGCGCTTGTTGGTTCTTTGGATTTTCATTCCAAATGAAAGGGGCTTTCTTCTGATCCGTCGCAGAACCCATCTCGATATTATTCGATTTATATTCCGTGTATATTCTTTTATGAACACAAAGTATGACGGAAACAACATTGCATTTTTTTCTGAATTGCGCTTTTTTTCAGCATTCAAATCCATTTTGATGATCCCGGAATTTTCCAGATACAGTCAACCCTTGCTTAACATTTTTAGTTGGTGCAGTGGGAAAAAACATTAGCTGAAAAAAACGTTAAGCAAGGTAGTCTCTCCCTTAACCCTTGTGCTGTGAAGTCGGACTATTTTTGCGAAATTTTGTGGCACCTCAGGGAGGTTTGGAAAAAAATGATAACAGGTGGTCAAGGGCAAAGTCGGGAAAAATCCAGATGCTTTTTTCTCTGAGCACAGAAAAATTTTTCCGGCAAAAAAAAAAAATTCATCAGTTGGGCTACCAACTTTTTTTTGGATTAGTCCCAACTTCGCCTTAGCCCACCTGGAAGGGTTTTGGTGACCTTCCAAAAAGTGAAAATTTGGGAGGATATGAAAATAATCCAACTCCGTCCCGCTATGGGAAAGAACCCTCTGCTGTCCGAGGGTTAAGATATAAGGGAGAAACATTTAATTGGTGCCAGGCAAAATTTTCTAGGGGTAAAATTCAGAAAAAATTAGTCAAAGAGTGTATTCCAACAACTGAGCTTTATGCACTGCCATTACATTCAAAAAGTACCCACAGTTCTTCACTCAATTGAAATCAGAGATTCATTTTAAACAAGGAAAGGTCTAAGTGTTACCCCAAATTCAGTGTGTGACACTGCAATTGTTCATAAAATAATTTTAACACCATGCCACCGCACAGGAAACACATTTAAAGCTGTGGAAAAAGTTACATTCAAGAAAATGTACAGGAGGGAGGGAGGGAGGCATCCACATTGATCACCCGGTGCCGCACAACTGCAGAACGTTGAGCAAATTTCAGAACATGAAGCAAGGGGATTTTTCTCACATGACCAGGAACATTATGCAAAAAACGTTCAGCAAACGGAACATTAACCAAGGGTTGACTGTACCTGACTTACCTTTTTAGCTTGTGCAAAGCTCGTGCATGTAAGCATGATGTTTTTCTTTCAAAGCATAAGTACAAGTATTTTGAATATTTAAAATTTGGTAAGTACACAAAAGATGTTGCTAAATGAATGAACAGAAAGCTTTATTTTTCACTTTTCAGCATTCATGAGGTTCAATCAACATTCCCACATCCAAACCCCCTCCCAACCCAACCCAAATCCATTCAAACGTATATTCCATCTTTTCAGAATGGGAAAGTGAGAAAAAAAGCTGGATATGGATACCAAAATGAAATATAATACATTCTGGAATGTACAACTGCATAATTGATGTGTATGCATACACCCCTTCCTATCCCTGACATTGAAAACAAAATATCAGTAACAAGAATTGCAGCATAAGCCAGAATTATAGCAATTGCAATAGTTGCTGAACCCTATTTAAAGCACAAGGTCTTCAGCCTGTTCCCAGATAAGGTTTAGTTGAATGAACAATTGAGAGAGAATCTTTGATGAGGAATCATATCATATTTGATTTAATATTCTGTATCATATGTTGGTGGAATATGTAAGACTATATCCTGTAACACTGGCTGCATTGAAAGTATGAAATCAATTTATTTGTTGGACACATTGAGGTCTCAAGAATGCAGTAAAATTCTTATTTGGCATCAGTTTGATGGGATTATCAATACGTAGTCGAAAAGCATGCGAGGCAAATCAAATTTTGCACGATTTTAAACTTTTTTCCAACATGCCAATCTCTGCTGATAACGCCGAGAGTTTTGATACATTTTCCGGATCTCCTCCAGCGGTTATACAAAGCTGGCTCATTTAAGGATCATTGTTTTTCTTTTGACGCATATCCAAAATTACTCAACATTCATATCTTAGACCCATCACACAACACATGTGAGTTGAAAATGTAGCAATCTCTCATAAAACTTGCTGCTTGCGTTGATCACTTAGAAATGCATTTATTCGTCGGAAGTGAGGGCAATGACATAGTGGGAATGCGGTACAATTCTATTATTGTGACATCAATTTGATCGTATTATGCCAGCAGGGAATGCATAAGAGAAATATTTCTGTGGAAACGAGAAAACCGGATGAATGCTTAAATAAGCAAGACACGCGGTGAGACCGGGGAAATCGATATAGTCAATGATTGATGCCGGTTGTTTCCGGGGTACTTCCTGTGACTGTAGAACATCAAAACACTCTTCCCAAGTGCAAAATTTAACCATATTCCCCTAGTTTGACGAAAAAAAAATTATGAAATTAAATAATTTTTTGAAAAAACGCCAATAATGCCAAAAACAAAATTTGTTCGACGTCTGGCTGCTCAAAATGCATTGCGCCTAAAATATCCAAGAGTACTGTACAGTACTTCACCAATCGGAATTCCATAATATGTCCATAAATTCTGAAAATGCGCCCTTTGCGATGCCAAAAACGACGATTTATGCATGAAGACCTGCTTTGGTGGCAACTGTCTCCTAATGTGTCCTTGGAAAGACACACTTCCAGACATCTGGTGCATATACAGGGTGGGCCAAAAAAAATGAACCAATTCTCGACTTGAAATAGCTTGGTAGAAAATTGAGCTGTGGCAGTGAAGAAAAAAAGCCCTGAAGGAAAGCTAGCTCAATTCTCTTTCAAATGATATGCAGTTTTATGGTCCCAAGTGCCAAATGGATGGTGAATGAATGAACAAATGAATAAACAGAAAACTTTATTTTCCGCTTTTCAGCATTCACAAGGTTCAGTCAACATTTCCACATCCAAACCCCCTTAGCTCCCCACCCAACCCAAATCCATTCAAAGACATTCAATCATTTCAGAGTGGGAAACAGAGAAATTAGATGCAAATGGATAACAGAAATGAAAGAAAATACATTCCACAAAATACAACTGCACAACTGATGTGTATATGCATACACCCCTTCTTTCCCTGAATGGTCACAAGAACCATTTCAATGAAAACTTTCAACAACAAAAAGTCATTTGGAAAATTTTTCAACTGTATATAAGCTGCAGTTTTGGAGAGCTCACCCTGTATATGGGCAAAGAAAAGGGGGAACATTTGACACACACGGCTGAAGTATTGATGGCCATTGATTTCGATTAGTTGCTCATATAAGCAGCATGTGCCATACTGCATATTTGCATGTGATTTTCTTCGGTCGGCGGCGGAACACGTGCAGATTATGTGATGACGTATAAGCGAGAGTCCATTTTTTAAATTCATTAATTTCATAAATTTTTTTATTCATGGAATATTGCATAACGATTAATTGGCGTCATCGTGAGGCATTCATGTCTGTTATAAGGAGTCTTATTTCTGGTCACATTTTTGGGTTGCATCGCGAAATGTTTTATGAAGTGTGATCGAAATTTTTCCATTTCAATAATTGCCCTCACATTTCTGACATTTTTCCCTGTACTCGTGAATGAATGATCAACCAACTATTACGTGAAAGTATGAAAATTCATCTCATTTTTATTCCGGTCACACTAAAAATGCAGCAACTCGCGTCTAATCTGCATATAAAGTATGAAAAACGTTACTTTGTGCTGAACTTCGAAAAGACCACGCAGGCACTTGGATTGAAAACAAATTATGAGAAATGAGAATATTTACGATGTTTTACACTGATTTTTTGCTCAGAAAAGTATGTCAGTCTTGAAAAAAATCAGTAATGAGAATATTTTTGGGGAGCCCGTTTATTTGCACAAAATAACGATCCAAAAGGACTGGAGAAAATTCTAGTTTTTCAGCGTTGAGGATGAGGGAAGTTAAGGGGGTTTTGAATGCATTATTTGTGATGGAATTCAGACTGGGACTTGAAACATTTTTATTTTATTTCTTATTTTTTACTTGGAGAATAAGTTTGAGCTATTGAAGTTCAGCTGCGTGTGTTTCGATGATTTTCGGGATGTTGGCTTGAATGAAAGCTGATGACTATAGCATTGTGTTGACTTATTGTCATTGCAGTATTGGTACGACTACAAGCTCACTTGGGACCCGGAGGAGTACGGAGGAGTCGATATGCTACACGTGCCTTCCGACCACATATGGCGGCCCGATATTGTGCTCTACAACAAGTAAGTTTTGCCCCCGAAAACTCTCCTAAATCACGTTTCCCTGGAGCTTTAAGGCCGTGGGATATTTACAAGTTTTGTCTCAAAAAGGCTCCACGCGCGGGACTGTGTGACACCCGGGATTATTTAATCCAAGGATGCATCACTTTTCCCTATGCAGTATATATATAGGGAGACCCCGCGATGCGGACATAATGGGTGCATCAAGAGTGTCCCTAAGTCAAAATGTCCCCAAGTCAAGTCTCATTTTCCCTTAGACTTACATTATATAATTTTAAATTGGTGTTTTATGGACAAAATACTCAGCATAATTCCATGAAAATAGAAATTGTCTCCCAATTGAAACGGATTCAGTCAATATATTTCAACACAATATGGACATTTGGGGAATTGAATACTGATACCTCTGTGCAGTACATAGAAATGTTGGCATTCTCTGTAAAAAAAAAAATAACATTCAAGTGAAAAAGAGAGTCCCTCTATGCTGGAGGTAATTCTTTAAAATTAGCTGAATGGATGGTAAATTGGTGAGAGAAATGCCCAAGAACTTTTCTTGCATCAATGTTAGGGTTGGAAATATCTGTTTCTTGTAATTTGGCCTGAAATGTATTTGCAATTTTATCACAAAATGTCTCTATGTCAAGTCAGTGTCCTCATGCGGGGACTTTTAATTAATTCTGTTTTGGAAAATAAGTTAGACTAAGTCAAATTGTCCACATGTCAAGGTATCCGCATGTGAGGGTCCCACTGTACAGTACAGGTATATGGGTCAGAGTTTCTCAACCTATATATCGTCTTGATGTATTTTTTCTTTTACTATAAAAATTCAAGGTAAAGCTTTTTGATTGATCTTGTGTTCGGACGTCGTATTCCTTCACTGTTCTACTCGAAGTACTGCAAACTTCTCGTACATAAATTGTATGCTCACATTTCCTCTAATTTTTGTGGATCAGCCAGGATGAAGCCTTGTATTTTTCTGCTCAAGCTTAAACTGAAAAATCAGGTGGTGAAATAAACGAAAATTAAGAAAAATTGTAATTCCAATCCTGGAAGAGGCTTTTGCGTACTTCACGAAAATTCTGAATGGAATAAATTAAATTTTCGCTGGATATTTGCTGTACTTCTTTGTCCGATCCTAACTTTTCCACACCTCAACACAACCAAAATAGTTCCAGTGGACAGCATTCCTCTTGCCAAAATCAGATTATTCTAAACAGTAACACAATATTACCGCATTCGATAATCTAATTTCAAGGGAAAATGAGAACGGATTTTCGCTGCTGGGACTCGTTTCAACAGCAGTAGTTTTTCTCAGGTGGAAAAATTACAATCTTTGCAGTTTTTCGGCTTTTTCCATACAAAAAACATACTGTTTGAGTATACCTGCTGCTGGATGATTCAGTACGTCCGGAAACCTATCAGAATTAGCAAGTATGATTTATCTTGGGGGCGGAGGAATCCCTTCCTCTCGGACACGTTGGGAAAATGGATTTTTAAAGTTACTCCGAAAAAATGCTAAAATTTTACTTACAGCGTGGTCAAAATGTTAATCTAATTGCATGAATTCTTCTAGTTTTTAGCAGAGTGTGAGATTTTTGAAGTACTGAAGTACGTGAAAAGAATTCCAACAAAATTCATTTTGGATTCGGAGTTTCAGTTCGCAGTCCGTGAACCGAGCATTGTACTTACACTTCAACATTTTCTCGATGGATTGTTTTCAGAATTAAATCAGCCTTGTTTTTGCGCCTGCAAATTTTCCAAGGAATCAGCAGAGGAACTGCTGAAAACATCTGATAGTTATTGACGACTTATAGAATCTTTGCAAAAAACCTTGCAGACTTTTTCTCTATTCTGACCAAAACTTAAAAAGAACCCACAAAATGGGGGAAAACACCCCCCCCCCCCCCCCTGAGAAGCATAACGTGCGCAAATCTTTCGACACCGCTGGGACACTCTTTTATTCCGGGATTTTAACCATGGAAAGAGGCTTCATGTTACACTTCGACGTGTTAACCCACAAAATGGGGGAAAACCCCCCCCCCCCCCCCCCCCCTTCGGAACCCCATTTTATTTTTTATTGGTCAATGCGTCTCAGGTCGCATGTTGATCCACCGAAACCCACTCATTCGGATCGAACGACGATGACGACGAGGCCCGGGGAAAAAAAAAGCCCATACAAAGCTCGCGATTACCCGTTGTGCTGGGAATAAAAAACAGCAGAAAAGTATCCCTTGTCACGAGATTTGCCCGCCGATTTTTGATGCGGCTTTGGCCATAAACACGGGTGCAATAATTTCCTTCCGAGTCATTGACTAGCTGCCATGGCCCGGAGGAAAATAAGCTTCCCGAATCCCTCAGCGCGTATATTTGCGTAAATTTTTATGATGCAGAGAAACCCAGTGGATATCCTATTTTATTTGCCACGTGACTTACGGTCTAAAACCTCCCTAGTATGTGAGAAGATGTTACATCTATTTTTTTTTAGATTTGTTTCCTATATGCATGCATTTTGAAATTTCCATCGAAGAAACGGGAATTTACGTGTGGAAAACGGTGCAGCTGATAACTGGTTTCCGGAGCAAAATTCTCCGCGTTATTGTTGAAATTACCCTCGTGAAAAGAAAAAAAAAATTTTGTTTGTTAATACTGTATTGTTTTGGTCTTGACATATATGAAAACTTGCAAAATTTTCAGCTTTTGCAAAAATACTATGCACGCTTCTCCCACCCCCTTTTTTTATTGACGACAGTCGAGAACTTTCATCACAGAGAAAACCTGATGCCAATCAGCCTTTTGATCGTTTCAGACCTCTTTTTTTCGTCCACGAAGTAGTTTTTTTTTCTTCTGTTATAATGCGTAAAGTTATATTTATTTTTCCATTCTGAATGCATGGAAAATGCTGAGCTTGGAAAATCAAAGCTTTATGCTGCTCTATTCTTCTGATTTTTTTTTCTGCCATTGAAAAGTTCGACTATCACGAATGAATCGAGGTTAAAAATTGGAAACAATTGTTCATTGTGGACTTCTACTGCTCTTATTACTGTAATAGCTTCTTTCTCGTTGATGGACTGCATGACCTCCCGGAAGTTATGGTTTTTTTTTTTAATCCGATTGAGGATGAATGCATGAATTCGAAATTGACGACTACAGTTCATTCTAGGGCAGAGGTTTAATTCAGAAGGATATAAATTCTCTGACGGACTGCTAAAGTCTGTGGATAACTCAAAAATATCCTTAAAAAATTAACAAAATAATGAATAAAACGTGTTCATGCTTTGAATCGACCCGTTTGACGTCATTTGCATCATCATGCAAATTTACGTGAAAATAAATAAATGAAGATGATGGGCAAGAAAATGTGGACGACACAGCTGGCAATCTACTCGTTGGTGCATCAAACATTCACTACAGCACGCAGTACTAGATATTGTGCAGTTATGGAAGCACATGCAGTAATAAACGTGGCTCATACAACCCCACAGCTCAGTAATTGTTCATGAAGAATATGCGGAGACGTAAGTGCGAGGGACTTATGAAAAACAATATGGAGGCGATATTTCCTTGTATTACTATCGGCAAGGAAGCCATGCACGTACATTCTGCGAACGATGGCAGAAAAAGAAAGTTGGCACAGATACTGTAATTATGTATTCATCGTGGCTCACGTAATGTCAAAAGATCTGCTCTGAAAAGTAATGGCGCCGAAGAGAAATTTGTCTTTTTTATTTATCGATTAGTAACCTTTCTTCTTGCCATTTCACACCCTGCAAGGAAAAAAATTATTGAATCGTAAAATATCTTTGCAAAAAACTCGTGTGGACTCCAGAAAAGAGTTCGTTGTGATGAAGAATTTGTTGAAACGATATTTTTACAATTTTTGACTGATTGGAAGATTTTCTAACAATTGAACCTGCATGAATTTTGCATCATCTTTTTGTAAGCTTTTCAGCTGTTTTTGGCATTTAAAAACTGCAATTTTCAAAAAGAAGTTTGAATGTTGATCACAAGCATTTCTTCTGAATAACTGGTGAACACCAGCACTTTCAGCTTATTAAGTTGTTCTAAGCAATTTACAAAGGTGGATGTTCCAAAAAAGCTTAAAATTTCTAATAATCAGCACAGGGGTTTCTCCAGCATACAAACCCCTTTCGACATGAGCTTTGTTGGGCAAATTTTTTTCTTTTCCCCCCACCACCTTTCCTAAACCAGGAAAAACTTCGGGAAGAAAAATTGTTCAGGTGGATTTTGAATAACTTGTATCCTTGATTCCACCTTATGTCCCAAGAACCAGCAGGCACAGTCCCATTTTGAACGGGAAATTTGAGACTGTGCCTGCATTCATGGGAGATTTTCATTTAAGAAATCACATGTTCCTTAAAAATTTGTTATAAAATGGAATTGGTGAGTTTGTTATAAAAAGATTTTGTAGCATGAACCCCAAAGGATTTCTTCTGGGACTTCGAAAAAAGTTTGTTGTACTGAAAAATTGGTTGTAATGGTATTTTTTGTAACAATAAGATTTTACTATACTGTACAATTAAATCATTCATTAAAAAAACATTGATGGCATTTTGATAATGTACATTCTACACGATGATACTGCGTTACATCAGGGGCCCTCGGGATTATTGAAAAAGTGTCAATTCCTTCTTGAAACTGGTTTAATGCAATGCACGATTATTTTTAAAGCGGAGATACATTATTCAAATTGACGTTTTCGATTTCAACAGAATTTTTTTCGGATTCTAAATGCGGCAGAAATTACTAAAAGGTTACGAGCACATAAGTGGTGGATGCATTATTACTTGAAAAAGGTCAGCAAACAAGAGCATAGGTCGTGAACTTATGACGTCTGCTTCTATTCTGTCTGTCGCAGTTTTAATGGTGATCATCGCCCCCGGCTTCTCTTACTGATGAACGGGTAAAATGAATTACTTATTGGATTATTTTTTTTTATTTTCGGGACTGTTCATGTCAATAGCTATTCACTTTCTACCTGCAGATTGGATGTACTACCGAATATAATAAAACGCGCCGTTATATTAATGAACCGATTTTTTTATAAATAAGGAAGTGCACATCAAATTTATTTAAATTCGGGTATCGCAGTCCTTCGAGAGTTTTTTCGTGAAACGTTTGGATATTACGCAGTTGAAAAGAGTTTTTCCAAATCACAAAGATGGATATAATTGGATTTTAAACTAACTTTTACTTCCTTTTAAAGCTTGCTTTGGCTGAGAGCAAGGAAATTCGCCTGCTGATTTGATTTTCCGCTGATTATAATTAGACGTACCATAATATTTTGAGCCGAACTATTTTCTTTTTATAAGAAGAGAGTAGGTCTAAATTATATTAAAAGCACAAATTATGCTCTAATTTTTTGGAGCTTTTGGTCTCAAACTCTTGAAAAAGTAATTTTTACTCGAATACAGTCACAAAAATGAATATTAAGCTACATTTTTATTACTGTACTCTGTACTGTATATATTATTACGTTGAATAAATCTTGAAGGCAGTTCCCTTTACTTGCATATTGAATATGTCGTCGATTTCTTTTCGAGCAGAATTTTCTATAATACTTGATTATTAACGGGTATCACACCTCACAGAAGTTATAGGGATTTCAACGGGATTTGTTGATCTAAAGCTATTGAAAGCGTAACTTTGCCTCTATCTATTCATAAATGTCGGTTGATTTGAATTTTAGGCATGCATTTTAACTGCGGGTCCAATATACTGTACCTTCAAATATACTTGTACTGTATTTAAGGCGCAATCTGAAAATTTTGGCCTTACTTATTCAAATTTGTTTTTCATGAAGAAGCTCTCGATTCTTACGTTTCGAGCATTAAGACGCGTTTCTCTCTTAGTATATTCCTTATCGGAACTTTCGAAATTCGGGCATTCGAAGCAGCAACAACAACAACACCGACGAAGTATTTTATTATTATTATTTTAGTGCCGACGGGAACTTCGAAGTGACGCTGGCGACGAAGGCCACCCTGCACAACAACGGCCTGGTGGAGTGGAAGCCCCCGGCCATCTACAAGTCGTCCTGCGAAATAGACGTGGAATATTTCCCGTTTGACGAGCAAACGTGTGTCATGAAGTTTGGCTCTTGGACCTACGACGGGTTCCAGGTCGACCTTCGGCACATCGACGAAGTGTCCTCGCAGGACAACGTCGTCAAGGTCGGCGTCGACTTGTCCGAGTTCTACATGAGCGTCGAATGGGACATCTTGTGAGTCGTCGTCACTTCATTTTTTTTCTTCTTCTTGAAATTGAATGAAAGAAATATGCGTGAAATCAACCCACTGACAATAATTTTAGGACAATTGAATTTGTTTACATTTTGGTTTATTTTGAAAATACTTTCATTTAGAAAAAGAAATGTAATGAATTTGTGAAAATCATAAAAGATTTATAAAAAAATTATGAATAAATATTTTATTTAGTTCTGTGAACTTTTTTTTATTTTTCCATAGAATTTTTAGAATTCTATTGCACATACCCACCGAAGAATAAAAAATATAGTACATTATAGTACTGAAGAGCAGAATCAGAACTTCGATTAACCGCGAAGGCGAATAATAGGTGTCGCTCCAATACGAATAATTATACAGATGGACTTTCTCTCCCTGTAACAATCTTCTCATCTATGCAAAGATTTTCTCTGTATAACGCATTTCTTTTTGGTCCCATACAGCAATTCTCTCCCCAATTTATAAGGGGTACTCTACAAGAAAATTTTCTATATTGTACAGTACATAGTGTAAAACATATTTTTAAGGTCCCACAAATTTTATTATTGTTAAGAGAGTCCCGCTGTACTCGATTGTGCGTCAGACTCGACAAAACTTTACGTAGGAACTGATTCGGATCTCAAGGAATTGAAGATGGATTTATTCGCAATATCAACTTGCAAGTTTTTTCCGCAGTAGCAGGCAATCAATTTTGACAAACCATTTTCGGTATTACAGTACTGTAATAAACATGACTTGAAGATTCGTGGAGGAAACAAGCTTTTGACTATATTGCAATTTGTAAAGAAGGTACTGTATATAATTCGTTGGTGCATGAATATTAAGTTCGCTTGATGAAAATGGGTCCAATTTTCATTCTGTGGTGCTTTAATTTTACGCCCACGTCCTTTTCAACCTTCAAAGTTATCTGGACAGACTTCAGTACTACTCCGTTTAAAACCCGGCATGATGCCCAAATTAATGCACCACTATTCCTGGACTTTTTATCATGCCAGAGAAATTTAATTCCTGCACTTCATGGACAATTATCATGCTGACCTTGATTACATCAGGACATCGTAAATCTTTCGGGTTTGGGTTAAATTTTAAGTTTTAATTATAAAAAAGGAGATAAGCTATAAATGCCATTGTAAAGAAATTAGGCAGGTGTTCGATGGAAATAGTTCTTTTTTATACTGAATTTTTCTTAACGACCCTCGTTTTACATGAAAGACAAAGGTTTTATCTGTATATTAAACTTTTGTTTTCCCCACTGAGATTTGAAATTAAAATTTTACTTGATTCCATTCTTTCCATTTTGATCGAACGACCTTTAATTTCTACTGATCTGCTTTGTAAAACCGTACGAAGCAAAAATGTCCTTTCATCAGAAAATAACTTGATGCATCTCGTAAAGGCGTAAACGGTCCCTATTAGTCCATGTTTGCAAAAAATATTTAGATAATAGACCAGTCTTATGTTTACAAGAAAACACAGATAACCTGCTTTGGAACAATATGTAAATTTGTAGACCAATAATTCATACCTTTATTGTTGTTCTAGAACTCCGATGAATAATATATGAATATATATCGTGCGAAAAGAATCTAGCGGTAACTTCTATATGACGTGATAAGCTCTCATGAAATGCGCAGTTGAGTCTCATAGTACGCCTTAAATTTCGAGCAGCACTTGTTTTTCCAGCAAATTGCCATAGAAAAAAAAACACGCAGACACACAAACAAAACAGCAATGACTCCCAAACGTGCACCGGGAAACACAATCAGCCTTCAAAGCACGAAGGTTGCTTNTGTGTGTGTGTATCAAAGAAAGGTCTGCGCTAGTAGGGAGAAATCCCGGTCGGTTCGCGCCCGGCCAATTGCCGTGTTCTAATTTATTTTCTCCTCTGTCTTGAAAACTCTGCTAAAAATCCGCAATCAAGGTGTAAGGCTTGATCAATCTAATTCTGACTAGTAAAACCTTACAGTCGTCACTTCCATTTTTCTTTTCTTCGTGGAATTGAATGAAAGAAATATGCGTGAAATCAACCCACTGACTATAATTTTAGGACAATTGAATTTGTTTACATTTTGGTTTATTTTGAAAATATTTCATTTAGTAAAAAAAATTATGCATTCTTGAAATTTTTAAAAGATTTATAAAAAAAATTATAAATAAATATTTTATTTAGTTCTGTGGACTTTTTTTTTATTTTTCCATAGAATTTTTACAATTCTATTGCACATACCCACCGAAGAAAAAAAAATATAGTCCAGTATAGTACTGAAGAGCAGAATAAGAACTTGGATTAACCGCGAAAGCGAATAATAGGTGTCACTCCAATACGAATAATTATACAGATGGACTTTCTCTCCCTGCAACAGTCTTCTCATCTATAGAAAGATTTTCTCTGTATAACACATTTCTTTTTGGTCCCATACAGCAGTTCTCTCCCCAATTTATAAGGGGTACTCTAAAAGAAAATTTTCTATACTGTACAGTACATAGTGTAAAACATATTTTTGAGGTCCCACAAATTTTATTATTGTTAAGAGAGTCCCGCTGTACTCGATTGTGCGTCAGACTCGACAAAACTTTACGTAGGAACTGATTCGGATCTCGAGGAATTGAAGATGGATTTATTTGCAATATCATCTTTGCAAGTGTTTTCCGCAGTAGCAGGCAATCAATTTTGACAAACCATTTTCGGTATTACAGTACTGTAATAAACACGACTTGAAGATTCATGGAAGAAACTAGCTTTTGACAATATTGCAATTTCTAAAGAAGGTACTGTATATAATTCGTTGGTGCATGAATATTAAATTCGCTTGATGAAAATGGGTCCAATTTTCATTCTGTGGTGCTTTAATTTTACGCCCACGTCCTTTTCAACCTTCAAAGTTATCTGGACAGACTTCAGTACTACTCCGTTTAAAACCCGGCATGATGCCCAAATTAATGCACCACTATTCCTGGACTTTTTATGATGCCAGAGAAATTTAATTCCTGCACTTCATGGACAATTATCATGCTGACCTTGATTACATCAGGACATCGTAAATCTTTCGGGTTTGGTTTAAATTTTAAGATTTAACTATACAAAAGGAGATAAGCTATAAATGCCACTGTAAAGAAATTAGGCAGGTGTTCGATGGAAATAGTTCTTTTTTATACTGAATTTTCCTTAACGACCCTCGTTTTACCTGGAAGACAAAGGTTTTTTCTGTATATTGAACTTTTGTTTTCCCCACTGAGATTTGAAATTAATATTTTACTTGATTCCATTCTTTCCATTTTGATCGAACGACCTTTAATTTCTACTGATCTGCTTTTTAAAACCGTACGAAGCAAAAATGTCCTTTCATCAGAAAACTTGATGCATCTCGTAAAGGCGTAAACGGTCCCTATTAGTCCATGTTTGCAAAAAATATTTAGATAATAGACCAGTCTTATGTTTACAAGAAAACACAGATAACCTGCTTTGGAACAATATGTAAATTTGTAGACCAATAATTCATACCTTTATTGTTGTTGTAGAACTCCGATGAATAATATATAAATATATATCATGCGAAAAGAATCTAGCGGTAACTTCTATATGACGTGATAAGCTCTCATGAAATGCGCAGTTGAGTCTCATAGTACGCCTTAAATTTCGAGCAGCACTTGTTTTTCCAGCAAATTGCCATAGAAAAAAAAACACGCAGACACACAAACAAAACAGCAATGACTCCCAAACGTGCACCGGGAAACACAATCAGCCTTCAAAGCACGAAGGTTGCTTTTCCCTAGAGACTCTTGAGAGAGAAAGAGAGATAAACTGGATAGAAACAAAATTAGGCAGTTTGCTATAATACAGAACGCAAATAAGCGCAGGATTCAATTACGAACCCCTCGGGCAGTTACGTTGGAAAGACGGCATTGGACTCGTGCTTTTGGACATGACATAAGAGAATCCGCAGAACCCGTAGAACATAATGATGACACTATTTCCCTACTCATTTCATTATATTGCTAAAATAGATCGTACGAGTTGTATATCAAACTTATATAAATTGGACTGTGGTTAAATTTTTTTTCAGTGGTCCTGATAGCGACCTTGGTGATGTTCCATTTTTAAAGTAATTTGGATCTAATTAAAATGGCATCCTTTTTTTTGCAGTTCGAAGCGTGATGCATTATGTCTTAATTTTTATTTGTAATTATAGTCAATTTTTTGTCTAGAATGAAAAAATGAAAACAAATCTTTCTTTTTGTCGGCGTTTTACAAGATATGTTCTTATCTTTTTCTGATGAATTTTATTCAGATCTCCAAATATATTTTTTGTGATGAAGATTGCGCCATTTTGAATTTTTGTTGTTGCTTTTATGCCTCCAATTTCTGGATGAGTAATACTGTACTCCTTCACTTTCGTTTGCTTACCGGTTTTGGGAGTTTATCAAGCGAAATAAATTTACCTAAGCTACTTCAGGGTGTATTACTAATGATATATATACAATTATTGAGGGTTGTCCCAGTTCTACGCGACCTCTTTCATTTCCAAAGCATTTGTCAGGACAGCTAAAAAAATAGAAACTTTATAATGGGTCTGACATACTTTTAGCACCTTGTAACAATCGGGGGGGGGGGAGAACTCAGGCTGTAACTGGAAAGTTTTCACTTTTCACCAAGCAGTAAATTAAAAAAAAAATTTAAGTTCGAAAAAATTAACAGAACCTTGGTACATCATGGGCTATGTCACGTTGTGTGTTTTTTTTTTTAAATGACACCTACTCCAAAGATATTGGAGGTCGCGTCCTATACTGGCACAACCCTTGTGCATTCCGAAAGAATTTTCCAAATTTGTTCTTCGTATCCTGAAAAGTTTGCGGGAAGTGAAATAAGCAGCCCTTGTTTTTTATAAAATTACACGACGAGCAGTTTGTGCATTACCCGAACGTCTCGGTAATGTAATATGGACAACTGTCTTTTGTACTGTGAGCTTCTTTTTTTCTTGTGGATTTCCTATACAATAACGAATCTCTCGGGTGGAACTAAAATGTCAGTAGTGACAAAATCAATTATCTCAAGAGTAGAACTCGACGGGACTTGGTTTTCTGTTCGTGATAGACAGTCGGCGTGTGAAAGCCAAGTTTTCCGTCGTCGTCGTGATGATATGAAGGTTCTTGTGATGTCTTCCTCTCTCTCTCTCTCTTTTCTCTCTACATTTTTGCTCCTAATTGATCATGATTTTTTTTCGTTTCTCTGATTAACATAGAGAGGTGCCTGCCGTGCGGAACGAGAAGTTCTACACTTGCTGTGATGAACCGTATTTAGATATAACTTTCAACATTACCATGCGACGGAAGACGCTGTTCTACACGGTGAACCTGATCATCCCGTGCATGGGGATCTCCTTCCTCACCGTGCTCGTCTTCTATCTTCCATCCGACAGTGGGGAAAAGGCGAGTGCATTTTTGCAATTTTCTGCCAATTTTCCTTCCCTTTTTCAAACTGCTAATTCCCGATTTGGAAGCATCCAAGATCCTGCGCATCGTCCGAAATCTTAATTTAAAAAAAAATTACGATAAGAGGAGCATCTGTTCGGATTCTTTCGAAGCCTCAGTCAGAAAAGAAGAAGAAAAACCGAAATTCAAATTGCTGCGTTGCTATGAAGCGTAAAAAAAATATGTGAAAGGCAATTTTTGTGCAAGGTATGATGAGGATTCAAAGTTATGCGCATGAATTATGGAAATGGCGATCAAGAGTTGAATAACAAAAATTAAAAGCGAAGAAAGATGCTTTTCAATTTTTTTGCAAATTTCTTTTCCAGCTCTATAGGTTGAAGGGAACCTATGAAAATAAGTGGGGGTTTGTCTCCCTATACAGTATATATAATGTTGAATATAAAAACACATTTTAGAAAGCATGGGGGGTTTCAAATTTTGAATTCATATTTAAACTTAAATCTTCCCTGAGTGCTTTTGGGGTTTCGATGCGCTTTCTTGTCATTTTGAGAATACAATTAATTACCATGATTTGACGCATGTTCTTTGGCTATATGATGCATAAATTGAAAATTCAAAAGAAGGATTCCGAAGCACTTTTGAAAATCTTGCACTTCTGAGTCTTTATCGATATGAAATAATTGATTTATTTGTAATGCTATATGACGAAGGCAGACAAAATACTCGTATGATGTTGATGGACTTTAATATCGAATGTTTCAGTTGTTCGTCTATCTATACAATTACTGTGGTCTTTTTTATTGCCAATTTCGAGTTGAATGGGAATTCTCTAATATGCGAAGCACACATTACTGGTATAATGCTTCATCCGATAATCCTATTATTTTATCAATATTTTTTTTACATATTACGAAGCTTCATTGTTTTTGGGCCACCTGCGAAAAATTAATGCTAAATAAATCCCCTGTGAAATGCAATATTTTCATCAAATCAGATACAGTAATCCAGCATGCATTCATTGGATAATTTATTTTTCGACCGAGAGTTTTTATATTCTTCGTCAAAGGGTTCAAACGTTTTGCATTGAATACATCCTGGCAACATTTTACTTTCATTTTCTTCCGAATGTAATTTTTTGACGAAAAGTTTCAACGTGTTCCGAAATAAACTTGATGCGAAGTGTTTCAGATATTCGTCTACCTAGAAAATTACTGTGCTTATTTTTATTGCTGATTTCGAGTTGATTGGGACCTTATGGTCCAAGGTTGCTTTCATTGATCAAACCTCGCAAACGAGCTCCCTAAAAATATCCTCTCAGCTAGCTTATAAACTCTTATATCACAGCCAAGACTAAAAATATTTTTCATGAAGCGCATTCTTTGATGGCATCAAATTTGCAATAAAAATCGCTTGGGAAGTTTGAAAGAAAAAGCGTTCTCCAAATTAATTATTCATATACAGCGCAGTTTTTAGCAACAAAGTTGAACCTCTATAAATCGAATCTCACGATCGATGTCGAATTTTTTTTTTGATTTTCTCCGAAAAAGCCTTAATGGCTCATTAATTCGAAGGAATTCCCGCTGGAACCTCCAAAACTCAAATTTTCTGGAGGCCTTTTGGCTATTATTTCCATTGACACAGGAAATATAAAATCATTAAAAATGTCACTTGATGCATTTTGAAAGGAAGTGAGTGGCTGATATTGGGCAAATGAACTCATGCCTAAAAAAATACTGCATCCTGTCAACTCATTTAAGAAGCAATTCATGTTTCGAATATCACCAGAACCAATTTTCGGTAATTATTCTTCCGTTTCCGCAGCAACAAAAAGAAGCTTTTTACTCTGACATCCTGACTTGAAGAGGTTCGACTGTAGCTTATTTCTATTTGTTTTAAGGAGAAAAACGTCCAAAAAATTATAATCGACGAGAATAAGTGTTTTTGACGTGCATTTTAATTTTTTCTTGTTCTCTCCTCTTTCTTTTTTTTTCTCCTGCCTGGGGCGGAATCATTCTTTTCCGCTGCTGCTGGGTGTGATATGTGTTCGTGTGACACACTCACACACACAACAGGTCAACCTGTCCATCAGCATCCTTGTCAGTCTGACTGTGTTCTTCTTGCTGGTGACAGAGATCATTCCCCCCACCAGCGTGAGTCTTCCCCTTCTCGGCAAATACCTCATCTTCGCGATGGTGCTCGTGACTCTCAGGTAAGCCCCCGAAAAGTTGTTGTTGAGTATAAGGAATAGACGAGTAGATTGCTGCCTTTATGGGGGTCGTATTATGCCGTGACCCCCCCACCTCTTTCTGTATAGTGGGGGGTCGTGCTGACTGGCCTCTCTGTGTACTTTCTTTTATTGCTTCCATTTTTTTTATTCTACTTTACTCTGCATGGGGTCTGATTTTCATCTCCGCGTGTTTTTTTTTTCTTCTCCTGCTGGTTTTTGGACAATATTTCGCTTGATCATCAGGTCAAAGATTCGTAAATTCGCATGATATTACGCATCTCATCAGATTAGATACGATAATGGGGGTTCTATGTTTTTTTTTCCTTATTTTGGTTGAGTTTTTGGAGGATATTTTGCTTGAGAAGGTCGGAGATACGTAGTTCGCATGATTATACAAAATATGTTGTAACAAAAGTTCTCGGAATAGACCATAAAATGGCATACAATTGAACTGAAAAAAATTAATTCATTATAGGGAAAACGTATTCTTTGTCATACACAAAAAAATCCGCCCTGTTTATGACAAATTTTTTTGAATGTTTTGCAAAATTTACCCTGGCAGAGTTTTGCTCTCAACTCAAAAGATGAGGTGCCCTTCTTGCAGATTTTTTGTTGTTGTAGCCCAGCTTTCCCCTCAGAATTCTTGAATTCAGCGAGGCATTATTTCTAAGGGTTGCCTCCAGATCTTCCTAGGCAATTTCGCCATTTTCATCAACAGCCGCCTTCACAGCCACCACATTGGCTATTCCGAGAAATTTTGAGTGTAGGGTAGGTTGTAGTGTAGTGTAGGTGGATGGCAATGGTACAGTAGGGTATTTTACTCATGTTTCCACACATTGCCCAGGTGTGGCTGGGCACTATCAGCTAGTTTTTTTATAATTGTTTATGAAGCAGGAATCGATCCAAGCAATACAATAAAGTGATCTGAGGATGTGTGAAACCTCACTGTGACTTATTTACGTGTTTCACAAATCAAGTTGAATGAATGAACATAAAGCTTTATTTTCTGCTTTTCAGCATTCACAAGGTTCAATCAACATTCCCACATATATACCAACCTTCCCCACCCAACCTGAACCCATTCAAACGCATTCAATCACTTCAGAATGGGGAACAGAGAAATAAGCTGTATATGGATACCAAAATAAAAGAAAATATATTCCACAATGTACAACTGCTCAACTGATGTGTATGCGTACACGAATAAAATTTAGAAATAGCGTACCATAAACTGCATTCTGAAATCAGATATCATTTCCTAAACTTCATGAGAAGATGTTCCATCCCAAGTTGAAATGATGTGGTGCAGTAATGGGATGTACTTTACAAAGCGTTTTTATTACTCTTTCAGTCGTGCATTTCTTGAACCACGATTCCAAAATCGCCTCAATGTATATTTCAATGGAAACGTTCCAAATTTATCTGTGAATGCGTTTTGTGAGAATAATTATTGAGGACCAACTCGGCGCGGAATTTCCAAGATATCCAAGAAAAGCAAAAGCCCCCCGTAAACCCTGAGAGCTTTCAGAATGTGGCAGTGACGTGACCGGGCCAAGTTTAAAAGCAGAAGGGGAGGATTAACGACGTGAAAGAGGATTTCGCTGGCGGGAAATCCGAGTCGGACAAAGTATTATCCAATAGGTGTCCTTTGCTTGACAGGGGACGGAGTGAAGCGTTATTGTGCTCTTCTGCGATGTACAATATATACTTCCTTTTTGCCGGAGCCACTGAAGATAATTTAAAGATCTTTCAATCATTTATACTCTTTTTTAGTTCATCTTTGAGTGGTCGTTGTTGAAATTATTTAAAAAAAATCCATGTCTCTTTTAAGTGCAGTAATTTGGCAAGAAAATTGCGATAAAGAAACGTGTACACTCTGGGATTATTTGATCCCCAGCTTCATTTTTTTTTGCATTTTTAGAGTGTTTCATATTTAATCACTATTTTTCAAAATTAAGTGGGAAAATAAGGACTTTTTTATGTGTGGGTACGTGGACTCTGTCTACTACGAAATTCAAGGGATAAGAAAAAATTCGTTTTAGAAATGGTACAAGAACCCAAATAAAGCGGGGACGAGAGAACCTTTTTGGGACCGAAAAAAAATCGTTCTAAAAAGAACATGACTTTAGAGAGAGTCCACTAATATGTATATTTTTAACTTTTTTTCATATACAAGGGCGTATCATCCTTGAGCTATTTTTGGAAAATGCTATACCCATATAATACAGGAATATTCCAAAAACTGAATTTTGTTGAAAAGCAATTAACTTTAGTTTCGAATCAAGTTAAAATTAAAATTTATTCTTGAAATCTTGCGATGATTCAGTCACAATATATTGGGTGCACATATTTTTCAGAGATGCGATTTTTTTAAAGTTTTTGTTCGCCATCTTACTTTAGGGAACGTGATACTGTATTTACTCGATTGAATACTTATATACAGTAGTGCTTTTTTATTTTTCGAAGAATTAAGTGTTTCTTAATCTCGAATGACTTATAGGGTATTACAGTAAAATTAATCGATTTGCGCCTGAATCATGTTTTTTCAACAGATTTTCTTTGTAAAATTTCTCTTCGTGACTCTTGGATACATATACAGTACAGGTAAGTGTTTAAATTTTGCAAAGGATCAATTGAATCTGATTAATCTGAAGATGGGGAGATGGATTTTTACTGATTACAGTGAGACCCCCACATGCGGACACCTCGACCTGCGGACAATTCGACATAGGGACACTCATTTTCCCAGAAAAAGGAAATAAAATAGCCAAACATTAGGACACTGACTAGGCATAAGGACATTTTGTGATACAATTGCAAAAACATTTCAGGCCAAATTAAAAGAAACAGATATTTCCAACCCTAAAATTGGTGTAAGAAAAGTTCTTGGGCATTTCTCTCACCAATTTACCATCCATTTAACTGATTTAAAAAAATTACTGCCAGCAGACAAGGACTTCCTTCTGTCTTTTTCACTCAAATGTTATTTTTACAGAGAATGCCAAAATTTCTATGTACTCTACAGAGGTATCAGAATTCAATTCCCCAAATGTCCATATTGTGTTGAAATATATTGATTGGAATCAGTTTAAATTGGAAAAAAATTTGTATTTTCATGCAATTATGGTGAGTATTTTGTCCATAAAACACCAATTATAAATTGTATAATGTAAGTCTAAGAGAAAATGAGACTCAACTCAGGGACACTCTTGATGCACCAATTATGTCTGCATCTCAGGGTCTCACTTCTCTATTTTCTGATGCAAACCATGTTGAGACCCATCCAACCAGAATCCTTCACATGTTGCTACAGCCCTTCAATAAAATTATCTGTCCCCAGAAGAGCAACGAACCTATCCACATTGGGCTGCACAATGCTTTGAGGGGTTTGGGGGGTTTTGGTCCCTCTGAGTAGCAGCAAATAACTCAGGACAGCACATATATATAAGGGGTAATCCCCGCTGCACTGCTCGACTCTGTGTGTGTTTGCTTTGGCTTCCTTTTCCGATGGATTAATATTGGCCCGCATTGCTGCCAATTAACTCGTTCCTATATATATATATATATGCACTCTGACCTGCAGTCACAATGACTGTCAGTATCGCCAGTATGCAGTTTTTTGCGCTGATCAGATTAGCGTCTGTGCTGCTGATGCTGTATATACAGTATATCCGTTTCTGGAAGTGAGGCATAAAAAATATGGCAATGATCGGACGGGTATTGGGGTGGTAATTTTGGGGTTCAGAGGTACAGACTTTAGTCATAATCTGCTCAGAGGAGGTTTTACGTGAATATCCTTTGTAATTTTATAATGTGAAAATACCTTGCGCCTCTTTTCATCGTCACCAGTTTTCTCTTATTGACGGACGTGGAGCCGAAAATTAAAGTCGATTTGTTTTGGTTTTTTGTGTGGTTCCAAAAAAATTTGGGAGTTGAAATCATTGTCCCAAGAAGATTTTACCTGAAGTCTCAAGAAGTGATGGGCGTACCATTATAATCACTGAGCGGTTCAAGCTATTCCGCTTTCAAAATTGTCATTTAAAAGTTCAGGAAATTTTTCTTTCGAATGACGTCAATTTGATGGTTGAATTCAGTTTAATACTTAAAACACACGTATTGAAACACATTAAATCAGATAAAAAATGCAAGTTTGCGTTTACGTTTTTTTAAAGGTTTTTGTGAGGGTCGTCCTCTTTCCGCGTGTCTTGAAACGCTTTAACAGCAGCGAGATAAGAAATGCAGTCGAATCTCGTTATAACGAATAATCTCTTTCAAAGCAGTCATTTTCCTTGCCCTACTGTCACAATATTTAAAGATTTACGTTACACCGAATCGAATGTTTCGAAGCTATTTTACTGGCCCCAATGGCTTCGTTGTAATGATATTTTACTGTAGTTAGTTTTCTTATGCAACAATTTTCTAGGATGGCGACAAAGAAGCGACGAGGGAAAAACTGGGTAAGGTTTTCTTAAAAAAGCAATAAATTGATTAACATGCGGGACATTGATGACGATGCTGTATTTTGCTCGTAAAAAATTGAATTCCTGAAACTTAACAACAGTCAGATCCTCTGTTCGACGACAGCGATCAATAATTTTGAAAGAACTAAATTCAAAATTATTCGTCTCTGCTGCGGCGTTGATATGGAGAAATCTTACTTTGATGATCATTATCAAGATGGTGGCAAACTTGAAAAACAAACCTGAGAAAAATTTCTGAAAATTTCCAGATTTTATTGAATGATAAATCAATCCAAGCGTCAGTGAATCTGAAGGACATTGCTGATGGCGATGCTGTATTTTTCTCGTAAAAATTAAATTCCTGAAACTCAACAAGATTCAGATATATTCTCTCTCAGACAGCGATCAATAATTTTGAAAGAATAAAACTCAAAATTATATTCGTCTCCGCTGCGGGCGATGTTATGGGGAAAACTTCCTTTGATGATCATTGAGATGGTGGCAGTGAAGATATCATGCCCACGGGCGTGGGTCGGGTATTTTTCCCTCCACGAAGCCCGTGCTCTAATTACGCTCAAAACTTGGCACATGTACGGCGGATGATGAGTGCTATAGCACGAGTCGCTGATTAAGAACCAGACCCGTCTTCTGATTATCTCACAGAATCTCATCATCCACGCCGAAGGAATTGAATAAGAATGAGAGAAAGAGAAAATAAAAAATTCTTGACATGAATTTCAGGAAGATAATTACTTTTTTCCAGAGTTGCAATCATCATGATGATGAGCTCCAACGACGAAGATCGCAGTTCTTAGTCATGATAATAATAATAATTATTATTATTCTTAATGTTTCTGACGAATTACATTCGTGAGAAGCAACTTTCTGCATGCATTCAAGCAGCGTCTTTTTTCTCACATATTTCGCATTTCAAACAAATTTTCCTCATTGTAAAATATTTCAATTTTTTTAATAGCGCACATGAATGCATGGAAAAGTGAACCTAGTGAACATTCAGTTCTTAATTTACAAGAAAATAGGGAAGACTTGGAAGTCTTAGTTATTTTGAGAGTAATACTGTTCTGCATCAGCAGAATGAATATTTTTTAAAGAATAAACTTACGTTGAGGCCGTGAAACATATGAAATGAATAAGTTCTTGTTTCTGTGACAACATCCGTTTATTTTAATCATCAAAAGGATATTAAAAAAGCCGACAGAAATTGTTTTACAGTACCAGATATAATCTGATTAACGTTTACTTCATATTCTTGACCAGGATCTCTCTTTTTTTTTCCTGTTTCGGATTTTCTGAAGATTTTTAGTTCGCCTTTCCCCTGGAGAAATGAGGTATTTTCTGGGTTTTGCGAAGTGCTTTGCTATGATGATTATTATTGGATGTTGTCGTGAAGAACTACATGGAAGTAACGCTTTTTTTTCCTCGTCAAATAGTTACTTCTTTATTAAATTTTCTATCTCATCTGATGAATTAGGAACTGCGTCAGTGAAGAGGAAAAAATGTTCAGTTCCAGCCGCTTTCAATTAGTAAATGAGTCTCTCGAAAATCCCATAAAATCTGCTACCTTCCCAATAAATATAAATATTCTCTAGGTCTAGGGTATATTTCTATTTTTTGTTTCGTTTTTTTTTTTGTTCTTCGCAGTTGTGCATGGTGCAATTTCCTAAATTCTTTCAGACTTATTGGATCACAAAAATAATATGTGCTACACATTCCTTTTTATGCATTGCTCTGTTATTAAATGCTGTAGAAAATCTTTGAGGGATCGTCTTGCTTATTTGTTGTTGCTCGAGGTGGAATATCATTGCTTGATGATTAATTATTCCTTGAATTCTGCTCAGATTATTTTAAAGGTTCAGTAAAAAATAAGGTTTTTTATATATTGAACTGCTGACGCTAAATCTGATCTTTCAACTTGATTTCTAGCATATGTGTGACTGTGGTTGTCCTCAACGTGCATTTCCGCTCGCCGCAAACGCACACAATGGCACCGTGGGTGAGACGAGTCTTTCTGCAAATTCTGCCAAGGCTTCTCGTCATGAAGCGGCCTCATTACCACATGGATAAGCACCGGTAAGTTTATTTTTTACACTTTACATATAAATAATCGTGTATTTATCTATATATTTCTGTTGTCAATTCCCAGCAGTCCCAACGAACCCAAATAACCCCCTTTATCTTAATGTTCATTCCAGCGCCCATATAAGTGTTTTTTTAGCGAATGTCAAATTAAATTAAATGGCAGCAAATTTCACTTTTTGAGTTATTGGGAATTTAACGATTTTCGGTCTGATTTTCTCACAGAGTGGGTATTTATTTCTTGTTGAAAAGGAATTTTTATTTGGGGTGTCCTAGGTTTCTTTGTGTGTGTTTTAATGAATCGTACTCTGCTGCATATTTAACATAATTCGGCATTTCTCTTTTTTTTCGTGAGGATCCTTTCATTTATACACCGCTTTTTTTTCGGAGAATCTTCTCGTTAATTAGCAATAAGAACGACGGTGTGAAATTGAGTTGGGTATTCTTCGTGGATTAAGACATTCTTGAATTGGAACAGCTTTTTTTCTTTATTTGAATTTCGGATTAAAGTCATGATAAACGGGGAAAATTTCGATGAAGTTCAATTGATTTATTTATAATTTTTAAATGAATATCCTGCAAAGAAAGCTCGTGAGTTGAGAATAAATACCGCTCTGAAGAATAGTATAAGCATTGCAGATGTGTTAAAAACTTGAAAAACTGTTTCGTTCGTATTTTGAAATATAGTTTTAAAAAAAATGAAATGGCTCCTCGTCGTCATTTTCTAGAAAGACAAGAAAATTAAAATTTAATTGATGGTGTTTGGGGGTTTGTACCCTGAATGGTGATTTTCCTTTGTAAAACCCTGGGGTTCGTTGGGGAAACTGATGAGTTTTTTTTTTTGTAATGTTGATCCTGGTCTCTCTTCTTCTTTTTTGTTTGTTTTGCATTAAAAACCATGAATACGTGTTTGCTTTTTCTGGCTTCGGTTGTTGTATGAGTTCTTTGATCCGAATATTGCGGCGGGGGAGAGTTTCGTTGCTCGCCTTCATTCTCGTATTTCCCGTGTTATTGTCCTTCCGAAAATCCCCCGTGATGGTGTCCTGGTCGTGATGATGATGATGATGATGATGGTCAATGTGCGGTCGGTTCAGAAACTTTGTTGGTGACAGGTAAGAAAAGCGGTTTATTCCGGAATTTGTTCCGTTTCGTATTTTTACGGGATTGCCGAGTTTTCCATTCAAAACGGGATTTTCTCTTAATTGTTTCTGCCGCAAAATAAAAATAATTGTGCGAACATTTAAAAATTTTTTTCCGCAGTATTGAGACTTTTGAGAGTCAATGATTGATTTTGCAATCAAACCTAGCTGGAATGAATTTCGGATTCCGGAGATTTTCTCTTTTGAAAAATAACTCACTCAAGACTGCGGTTGGAAAATTATGGAATGGGGAGAATTTAAAAAATGATTTACTATTGTTATTTTTGAAATGATCAAGTGATACTCATTATTGCGGTATTGACACTGAATGTCAACAAATTTTCGTAATTTTTCCATTTGATTTAGTCAAAATGTACCCTGCTAAAATGTCGCCGTTGGGATTCGAAAGACTATATCATGAAGTCAGGAAGACCGAAGAATAACGTTTTGATAGCATTCAACTCGAGGATTAAAATATATATACAGTATAATTGCCAAGAAGGAAAAATGGCAGAAACAATTGATGATCGAGTCCCATATATTCCATATTTATACCGTTTCTTGTATTTTCATTGGTTATATTTCATTTGCTTGAGCAGTTCATCTTACTTATTCGTTGTTTCAAATTTCATACACCTCATCATCGATAATACTTGACAATTTCACTTTTTTTTACTCCATTCAGACTACATTTTGCTACATTTCCAACTTCATGAAGTTTGGTAATCTGATGCTCTTTCTTTTCTGGATCCGATGGGAATATTTTATACCATCGAACCGTTTTTGCACGCCATTTATTTTGAGGCTCATATTATCCTTTGAATCATCTTTTGGTCATGTTACGGCAGTCTTTTTTTTTTTTTTTTTTGGTGGAGGAAAGTATCGTCATCGGGGAGGTGCCTTTTTAAAAATTCTGAATCATAATCATTAATTTTTTATTAGTGCATTTTATTAGTGGAATCGGCGAAATCTTCGCGTTTAAAAAGGAGAAAAGAAAAGAAGGGAACCTCGTCTCCAACACGGAACTCGAACCGAAAGCATGAAACGCCTCGTTGGCTATGTGAAACCTGCACGTAGTATATATACATATATATATATAGATACTGTATAAATGTATATATATTTATACTTTTTTTCTTCCTTGCCTCGATTGTCATGAGCACGTGCCTGCATTTTCATTTCGATCCAGGGACGTTTTAGTGGATGAACCTTCTTCTTCTCTCCTTCTGCTGTGGATAACCCATGGTGTGAATATTGCATCACAGGGAAGCCCCCGTTTTTTCCTGCTCTCTCTTCTTTTTTTTGTAAAAGAAAAACGCTTCTGAATTCCTTTGCCATATCTGTGAAGTGTGATGTATAGGGAAGAGAGAGGAAATTCGGAATAACTGTGACTGTGACGGGTAATAGCGGGGAAAAGGTGGATCAAACCTGTCCATAACTCGTCTAATAGACGGTGGATTTTGCTGCAGGGTAGGAAAAAGGTCACTGGGTGTTCCATCTTGCTGGGGGAAGGTCATGCACCTTTTTTTTTTCTTGCACAGAATTAATATTCTGCGTGAATGAGTTTATCTTTTATTCGGCAGCTTTTAAAGGGCGGAAGTCGAGAGGAAATGGGGTGAATTCGTTGATGAAATCACGAAGTCCAGTAGCTTCATTCAGGAGCTATGATCTTTATATATGAGTGGACAGTATTTTGTGGATTTAGCTAGAAATAAATAAAAATTATTTGCTTTTTTTCTAAAGCCAGAAACAGGCCGGAATCGGTGTCAATACATTGATGAGATTTTTCCCTTCTTCTGAAATTCAATTTGCATTCTATTTGAGTATTGTTTACTATATTGAAAGTCTTCCACCAGCAGCTTTTTTAATATGTATTTAAAATGGCCTTCAAATAAGTGCCAGGGTTAATTTACGGACTGCGTCAGTCTTGTGTTTTGCTTTTTGAAATCTGCATTTGTGTAGCAAAGTTAGATTTTTTAAATGACTAATACATAACGAGTTTCATGATTTCCGTAAGACTTGAGAATTTTTGAGAAAAGGAGAGAAAATCGAAGGAAAAAAGTTGAGATGAACTGAGTCAACTGTATAATAGCCAAATAAGGTTCGGTACTGTTGAAGTGTGCAAAACTGAAATTAATCAAAGAAATCAGTCATGCATTTTAAGCTTTTTAAAAAATGCAGTATTGTACTTTATTAACAAATATTTCCCGGGCGATGGACATTTTTTCAGAGTTTTCTCAAGTACAATATAACCACAGCTCATCGTTTCAATGAAAAATATTTTCATTCCGACAAATTTTCTCAAGTCATGCTGAATGTGAATGTACTTCCCTGAGATAATTACTGAGAGAGAATTTTTTCAAATATTTGAAAAAAAAAATCCCGCTAAAAATGAGCTAAGATCTTGCTTCACATCTATACAGCTTTGCTGAGAGCCATTCGTAGTTCACAGCATCCGGATTCTTTGATGGGGTTCATTGCAAGATTTTTTTCAAAATCCTTTTTTCAGGTTTTATTTTCACAGCAGCAAAATTTGATGAAAGTATCAATTATGCGCAACTGAAGCAAAAAGCATATGCTGTACGTACTGTACTTGTATTATCCTGTCTAGATAGTGTAGTATCAGCATCCGGAACTCCTGCTGTTCACGCGTTGCATGTTACGGTAATGAGCGACATCTAGTGTAAAGCTATCCTTTCACACCTTCGCTTGTCATCTTGCTCTGGTGATTGATGACGCTACAGTCTACAGCACTTACACTGTACTCGTACTGTATACAGCAATCTGTCTTGGGCTGCATATTTCTTGATCAATTGTGCTGCTGTTCCCCTCGTCCGGGGGAAAAAATGTATGTACTGTATATATATTTTTTTTCCTCTTTCAGAGTGATGGTGCGAACGTTTAATGGGGTGGAGCTGCGAGATTACCACCCCCACGACCGGGGTAGGTACTATGGTGCCGGACCCAGGGACTTTTCCTTCTCGTCGCCCAACGAGCTCAGAGACGTGGGCGGCATTCCGAGGCCCCCGAGGCCGAGATCCGATTATTTCCGGTACGACCCCGTTTTAATTAACACCCTGCTCGTCCTTTTGAATGAGTGGCGATGCATTTTAAGTGCTGAACTGCTGGGCATGCAGGAAGTACCCGACGCGTTTTGTCAGCCTTGATGATGGGTGGTTATTAATAAATATACTGTATATATATATAAATATATACACGAGTTGACTCTTGCCGCCTCGTCACGAGAAAACAGCACGTAACGTGTTTCCCCGGAAATCAAGCATTGTCTTGATCGTGTTAACTTTTGCATCCGACGGATCTGATGATGCTTAAGCTATTGTAATTGCATTTTCATTAGTACCTGTATTTTGAAACCAAGCATATTTTGTACTGTATTTTATTTTATTCATTTGCATGCATTATTTCACAGCTGTTAAATCTGAAAATTTGATTTTTATATTCCATGTTCATTGTTGGAAACTGTGTAAAGAGTTCGGTAATTATTTGACTTATAATTCAGTATTCTGACTGATTATTTTTCTTGGTGGCTTCATTATATGGATGAAAATATAAATTTTGACCAATAAAACGTGGACTCTCTCTATACAATGATCTTTACTGAGATTTTCTCAGTATAAAGATGTTTTGTCCGATGAATTTTTCCCACTTGCGTAATGTTTTTAAAGACATTTTTATGAGACGTATGGGCACAATTTTAAATTCCAGAATTTTTGGGGGTTGATATTTCTGCACACAAAAAAACAGAAAAAACAATGAGCATTGCATACACTTTTCAAAAATGCGGCATTGATTTTTTTCGTAAATGCGTTGCTTCCGAATGAAGATATATCGAGTAAGGCTTATTCTTAAAATTGAGCATGCATTTATTGCTGACTGGTTTTTTTTTTTTACGCAGGGCTAAAATTTCGAATGCCAATATGTTATCAGCTATAAAACCCCCTGAAATTACTCGGATTTGGCTCAATTTACAAATATTTGAGCTTGGGCCAGTACGTCGGAGTTACACCTGATGAATGGCTTGTACCCAAAGAAAACTCAGAAATAGGAATAAAAATATACCCAATTTTTAAAATTCTCATAAACAGCAGTTGAAATATTCAACGCACCATTTCCTCGATGAGTTGTTTCATCACTGCTGATGTTTGCTAATATCTTTCATTCTCAATTTTCTCTTTAATTGAATTCATGAATACCTTGCATGTTTAATAAGCGTGTTCTCCTGAAAGGTTGACAGAAAATGCGTCAGTTTTTATTATCAATTTAATTTTTTTTAACCCGGATTTACTGTTCAAAAATTTGGTTGCGCCCTCTGTATTGTGTACATCCAGCACTTGATCGCGGTCTAATTCGCGTGTAAATACTTCGATATTATATTTTCCTTCGTTTTTGTTTTTGTTTTGCGTGACAGGGATCTGGACATGGGGTTGAATGGGTCGTGCAAAGTGCACGGGCACGGGATCCCGCCGCCTCCGCCGCCGCCGGACGACTCTCTGCTCATGAATGCCCGCGGGGACCGGAGTCCGCCGTGTCGGAACCCGTCGCATGCCCACTACTGCCCAGAAGTCCACAGGGCATTCGAGGGGGTCAAGTTCATTGCTGAACACACGCGCAAGGAGGAGGAGTCCATCCGGGTAAAGATTGCAAGCAAACACAGTCGAACCTCTCCAAGTCGGATTTTCTATAGGCATCAGAAAGAAAGAAAACGTTTGACTCTTGGGGAGGTTTTGATTTTTGGAGGTCATGAGTTTAGAAAACAAACATTTTTTTTGCGAGGAATAGTTTAAAAATTGTAAATTAGGATGTTTTAGGCCAAAACTTTCTTATTAACCCTTGAGCGGCAAAGTTGGACTTTTTTTGAAACATTTTGTTGTACCTCATAGAGGTGAAGAAAAAAAATGTCAACAGGGGGTTAAGGGCAAAGTTGGGAAAAATCCTGATGTTTTTTTCCCTGGGCACAGAATACTTTTGCAGGAATATTTTTAAAAATGCTCAGTTAGTCTACCAGTTTTTTTTTTTTTGATTTATCCCAATGTTGCCTCAGCCCACCTGGAAGGGTTTTCCTGACCTTCAAAATTATGAAAATGTGGAAGGATACAAAAATAATCTGACTCCGTCCTGCTATGGGAAAGAACCCTCTGCCATCTAAGGGTTATTGAGTTTACACTGTTTGCTGAACTTTGAGTTTGGGGTTCATTTACTCAATTAGTCTTTCACTTCCTATCAAGATGCATTAAATCATTTGTTTCATTGATTTTCTCTTTTTTTTTTCAAAGAAATAATAACCAAAAGGCCTCAGAAAATTTGACTTTTAAAGAGGTTTGAGAGAAAAATACTTAGAGTTATGGAGGCTTTTAATGCATTGTTTCTATAAGGGAATTCAGATGGAGACATGAAACAAATTTGACTCAGGCAGGTATTTGACTTACAGAGGTTTGACTTATCTAGGTTCAACTTATACAAGAAAATAAAATATCATTGCAGCCAGCTTTTGGGTACTTTGAAAAACGTTTTTTTATACTGAATATAGAATGCTATGAGGGGGTTTTCAGAATTGATGACTGAAAAAAAATTATCTCAACAGACCTGCTTGTAATACATTTTAATGTATTTTGCTTTTTTGGCTTTCTCAGATTTTGTTTATTCTTGTTTGAAAAACTGAGCAATCTAAAAAATTGAGCTTCAATCATGCATTCCATCAGTTGAACCAATTCATGTATTCTATTCATTCTGTGAGGATGGCATTTGTGGAACAACTTGGAAGAATGTTTGTCATTAATTACAGCTTCCATCATCCATGCTACGAGAACCAGTCAGTCTTATTTTGGACTGGAAATCTCAAACAGTGCCTGCCTTAGTCAGGAAATTTCTACCGAGAGAATCTATCAAACATTCCTCAAACAAGTTTATTATACAGTACTGGAATTTAGAAGTTTATTATAATGAGACTGTTTGAAATTTTATTTTTTATGGGCTTTCCTGAGCTGGGGATTTATGAGGCAAAGTTTTGTTGCACTGAAAGATTTGCTACTAAGGTATTTGTTGTAACAATGTTTTGCTTCATAACTGATTTCTTTTATATGTGAAATAATTTCAATGGCCAAGAGCGCGTTTCCGCAACACAAGGATTTCTGATGATTTCATGAACTTATTATAATTTTTTTTTTCATTTTTTGTATTTTTGTTTTGTTTTGCAGGTGAAAGAAGATTGGAAGTACGTGGCAATGGTGCTGGACCGACTTTTCCTTTGGATTTTCACTATGGCCGTGTTGGTGGGAACGGCGGGGATCATTTTGCAGGCGCCGACACTGTATGANAAAACGTGGACTCTCTCTATACAATGATCTTTACTGAGATTTTCTCAGTATAAAGATGTTTTGTCCGATGAATTTTTCCCACTTGCGTAATGTTTTTAAAGACATTTTTATGAGACGTATGGGCACAATTTTAAATTCCAGAATTTTTGGGGGTTGATATTTCTGCACACAAAAAAACAGAAAAAACAATGAGCATTGCATACACTTTTCAAAAATGCGGCATTGATTTTTTTCGTAAATGCGTTGCTTCCGAATGAAGATATATCGAGTAAGGCTTATTCTTAAAATTGAGCATGCATTTATTGCTGACTGGTTTTTTTTTTTTACGCAGGGCTAAAATTTCGAATGCCAATATGTTATCAGCTATAAAACCCCCTGAAATTACTCGGATTTGGCTCAATTTACAAATATTTGAGCTTGGGCCAGTACGTCGGAGTTACACCTGATGAATGGCTTGTACCCAAAGAAAACTCAGAAATAGGAATAAAAATATACCAAATTTTTAAAATTCTCATCAACAGCCTTTGAAATATTCAACGCACCATTTCCTCGATGAGTTGTTTCATCACTGCTGATGTTTGCTAATATCGTTCATTCGTAATTTTCTCTTTAATTGAGTTCATGAATACCTCAAGTGTTTAATATGCGTGTTCTCCTAATGGATTGACAGAAAATGCGTCCGTTTTTCTTGTTTATTTTTTTATTTTTTAAACCCGGAATTACTGTTCACAAATTTGGTTACGCTCTGTAATGTGTACATCCAGTACTTGATAGCGGTCGAATTCACGTGTAAATACTTTGATATTATATTTTCCTTCGTTTTTTATTTTTTATTTTTTGCATGACAGGGATCTGGACATGGGGTTGAATGGGTCGTGCAAAGTGCACGGGCACGGGATCCCGCCGCCTCCGCCGCCGCCGGACGACTCTCTGCTCATGAATGCCCGCGGGGACCGGAGTCCGCCGTGTTTCCGCCGTGTCGGAACCCGTCGCATGCCCACTACTGCCCAGAAGTCCACAGGGCATTCGAGGGGGTCAAGTTCATTGCTGAACACACGCGCAAGGAGGAGGAGTCCATCCGGGTAAAGATTGCAAGCCAACACAGTCGAACCTCTCCAAGTCGAATTTTCTATAGGCATCAGAAAGAAAGAAAACATTTGACTTAGGGAGGTTTGGACTTGGGGAGGTTTTGACTTAAGAAAAAAAATATTTTTTTGTGAGGAATAGTTTAAAAATTGTAAATTAGGATGTTTTGGGCCTCAACTTGCTTCTTAATGAGTTTACGCTGTTTGCTGAACTTATTGGAGGTTGGGGTTCATTTGCTCAATTAGTCTTTCACTTCCTATATCAAGATGCATCATCATTTGTTTTATTGATTTTCTCTTTTTTCTTTGTTCAAAGAAATAATAACCAAAAGGCCTCAGAAAATTTGACTCATAAAGAGGTCTGAGAGAAAAATACTTTGAGTTGGGGAAGTTTTTAATTCATTGTTTCTAAGGGAATTCGGAGATGTGAAACAAGTTTGACTCAGGCAGGTATTTGTCTTACAGAGGTTTGACTTATCCAGGTTCAACTTATACAAGAGAGTAAAATCTCATTGCAGCCAACTTTTGGGTACTTCAAAAAACGTTTTTTTATACTGAATATAGAATGCTATAAGAGGGTTTTCAGAATTAATGACTGGAAAAAATTATCTCAACAGACCTGCTTGTAATACATTTTACTGTATTTTGCTTTATTGGCATTCTCAGATTTATTTTTATTCTTGTTTGAAAAACTGAGCAATCTAAAAAAATTTAGCTTCAATCATGCATTTCATCAGTTGAACCAATTTATGCATTCTATCCATTTTGTGAGGATGGCATTTGTGGAACCACTTGGAAGAATATGTTTGTCATTCATTACAGCTTCCATATCCATGCTACAAGAACCAGTCAGTTACATTTTGGACTGGAAATCTCAAACAGTGCCTGCCTTAGTCAGGAAATTTCTACCGAGAGAATCTATCGAACATTCCTCAAACAAGTTTATTATACAGTACTGGAATTTAGAAGTTTATTATAATGAGACTATGTGACATTTTATTTTGTATTTGGGCTTTCCTAAGCTGGGGATTTATGAGGCAAAGTTTTGTTGCACTGAAAGATTTGCTACTAAGGTATTTATTGTAACAATAATGCTATTTTTTGAATAGTTACTCCATGGGGTCACTGCCAGCACTCAAGAAAAAGTTTGATGTGCTGAAAAATGTGTTGTAATGGTATTTGTTGTAACAATGTTTTGCTTTATAACTGATTTCTTTTATTTGAAATAATTTCAATGGCCAAGAGCGCGTTTCCGCAACACAAGGCTTTCTGATGGTTTCCATGAATTTATTGTAATTTTTATTTCATTTATTGTATTTATTTTTATAAAACGTCCACTTTCTTCTAACCTTCATGCACCGTTACCACGACCTGGCTGAAAAGGAAACCTAAAAGTGATACCGGCACAACCACCCTTGCCGCCCCTAGTAAAACGTCCGCGGCTGTGACATACTCGATCGGCGGCCGATCGACCTCGTCATGTCGGAAATTGCCGCAGGCACGCACAAACCGACGCGCTCCTTCAACAATCCCAGGCGACAGGGCGGCTGGCAGATTACTGGGCAGCGAGACATAGCAAGCGCCACTGTGCACGTACGTGTTCTTTATGCAAGAGTACTCACTCCAGTGTAAAACGCTGAGCGGGACCAATATAAAAAACTTGTTGTGTCGTTTTAATAATGGGCTTCTTACGAGGAGTAATTCGTTTCTATCACAATTTATTTTTCTTTTCGTTTTTTAAAATGATTTGCTTATAGCCCAACTCAGAAAATTGCTCTCGTTTAGTTTTTTTTTCTTGAGTTCTCGTAAAAAAAAAGGTTCGCTTATAAGAGCTTGATGCGATAACGTGATTTTAGCTGGAAGTTTTCCCTCCTTTTAGAGGTTTCACCTTGGGAACATTTTAAATCTTTATATATGCAGTGTTTTCTTGGAAAAATGTAATTCCTCACCAAATTTTCCAAAAGTCCAAAAGTCAACTGAGTCATTTCTTGAGGCAATTGTTGAATCTGGTTTAAATTTAAAAATGGATTCATTCACGTGGGGAATTTTAAAATGCATTACTTATTTTCTGAATAGACCGCTTTGTCGAATTGAAGAAACTTCAGCGAAATATTGAAATGAAAGTTAGCTTTCATAAAGTTTCTTTTAATCCTTGGTCTTCGTCTGAGGTAAATAGTAAAAGAAATTAGTTTTGTCCCTTAAAAAATACTACCTACGCTGGTGCTGAAGTTTTGGTATTTTTCGAGTGATTCTCAGTTATAGAGCGAGATTTCTTCCAAATTTTCTAAGAAATAATGCATGCATTGGTTTTTATTCAAGGCCCGTATTTGTTGATTTGTCGTTTGGATTTATTGAATTCAGGATACTTAGTTATTTTATAGAATCTAAGGCAGGATGTGACCTGATTCATGGGCACTCATTCGGGTGGGGATCTTTTTATCGTATTTTTTCGATCGATCGGCCCCAAAATGTATGATGCTGACAATCGATAGGGTTGAGAATTTTGAGGAGAAATTTTCCTTTCATCTTCTTGACTTTTCCGATATGAAATCGCTGGTCTTTCTTTTCTTATAATCTTAAATGGCTCAAGAATTTTGTATTGCCCTTGATCACACATTATTTTGGTTGTTTTGCTCAGCGGACGCGATGCATTTTAATTTGAGTATATTTTGGGTTCGCTTTAAAGTTTTTTTAAAATTATAATTGTCAAAAATACCTTACTTCGAGGAAAAATCGTGACACTTACGCAAATCCAACAGGTTTCTTGTTGCAACGTAAAACTTAAATACAGTACTTTGTTCCCTATTTTATTAGTTGTTCATGCAATGTTTTTCTTTCGGAATTTTTAAATTCCATGACTCAAGGAATATTGACTTCGCTATTTTGATTTTTCTCAACATTATGCGGCCCATTAATTTTCTTATTGGAAGTTGATTCTGTATCTTCCCGAGAAAATATTGACATCGATCAAATGAGGCAATGAAGAAAACGAATTCAGTACTTTTTAGGATGCAGCTGTGATAATGACCAGGGTTTTTAATGATGCCCGTCTGGACCGTGAATGAACAGACGCATTTTCGTTCCCCGTAATTTCATTTCCAAATTTCCAACAACAAAAAATTGTGTTTGCGCTCGAACATCTTCCAAGGTTTCTTTTTTTTTCACGCGCGAAGAAGTTTTTCTTTCTTGATACATGAAGATGTGCTCTTTGCGACGAGATGCTCACGAGGTTTGTTTGTAATCTCAGAATGGAATGAATGAATTTTTTGCTGAGAATTGAAAAGAAAAAAACGAAGTTTGGGGGAAAATCTTTGGCTGGGAAAAGATTTTTATTCCCTGCGAACTTCTTCTTTGTTTTTTTCCCCCCAGAATTTCTCTTTTTTTTCCTTTTTATACGTGACATACCAGGGAAAAAAGAAGAAGAGGCAGGAGAAGCATTTATATCTGAAGAGTGATTTTGATGACGCAAAATTTACGCGGAAAAATCCGTTGGGTTGGGGGAATTTTTTTTATTTCGGGCATTTCGAAAAAATGCGGTCCAAACATCAAATTCTCACTGTCACTCTTTTTTTTTATTGGCTTTGAGAGGTCAGAAATCGTTTTCTATCGTCATTTCCTCCTGAAACCTTAGTTGTTCACTACATTTCAATATCTTCCGAGTGCATCTTAGATTTTTTTTTTTAGATTTAGAAAGAAAATGATCTCAGCAGTGTTCGAGGACAATCGCGAGACTTTCTTTTGTTCGTTCACGAGGTTGTGTTTCTCTTTTTCTTTTATATATGTGATGGCTGATGGGGTGCGAGAGTTTGTTTGACAAGCAAATGCTCTGATGGAAGGGAAAAAAAAAAAGAATAGAGATTTGATTCGGAATGATGAGAAGCAGTGGCGGGAGGGAAAAGGGAATTAAGCCGACTCAATTTGGAATAAGGGAAATTTTGAAAA